ATCTTCTCTGTATTGTTCCATTTTTTTTTTTAGTATATGTGCTGCCGAAGCGAGCACAATTTCTAGCCTTTTATCTATTATTTTTATTCTTTGTGTTTGAGTGTTTGCATGTAAGTGCACCACATACATGCAGTGCCCTTGGAGGCCAGAAGAGGGCACTGGACTTGTGAGCTACCATGTGGTAGCTGGGAATGGAATCTGTGTCCTTTGTAAGAGCAACCAATACTCTTTTTATTTTTTATGATTTATTTATTTTGCTGGGCGTTGGTGGCGCACTCCTTTAATCCCAGCACTCAGGAGGCAGAGGCAGGCGGATCTCTGTGAGTTCAAAGCCAGCATGGTCTACAAAGTGAGTTCCAGGACAGGCTCCAAAGCAATACAGAGAAATCCTGTCTCAAAAAACCAAAAAAAACAACAACAAAAAAACAAAAAAACCCAGGTTTATTTATTTTATGTATAAGTGCTCTATCTGCATGTGTACCTGTATGCCAGAAAAGGGCATTGGATCCCACTAGAGATGGTTGTGAGTCACCATGTGGGTACTGGGAATTGAACTCAGGACCTCTGAAAGAGCAGCCAGTGCTCTTAACCTCTGAGCCATCTCTCAAACTTCTTCGTTTTGTTCTAGGTTGGCCCCAGATTTGCTCTGTAGCTCAGGCTGGCCTCACACTGGTCACCTTGTACCAGCTCCATTGGGCTGGGATTAGAGCTCTGTACCACCCCCTCTGCTGCTGCCACCCAGCTACCACCCCCCTCACACAGACAATGGCTGCAATCTCATAAAGGTGCTGCCACCTCCACCCTAAGCACCACATCACCTTTTCCCAGTTCTTTAGGTCTTATCAACCCATGGTCTTGTCTCACTGCTCATAAAAAAGCCAGGGAGCAGTGGCCTTATGAGCTCATCACATTTGGAGCCCAACCCCCCTCTCTGACTGTCTTACTTTTCCAATCCCTCACTTCTCTTGCCACACTGACCTTGCCTCTGCCTCAGGGCATTTTAGCACCTGCTTGTCTGCTCAGCATTCTTCTCCTAGATAGCCTCTTGAATTGTTTACTCACCCAACATCTTCACCCACTTTATGTCACCACAAAAAAGCCTTTCCTAACCAACTTCATAATTAAACCAGACTTTCACTCCCTTTTCTAATTCTAGTGATTGCTATTTAATTTTTTTTGTTTGTTTTTTTTTCCCCCAGACAGGGTTTCTCTATGTAACATCCCTGGCTGTCCTGGAACTCACTCTGTAGACCAGGCTGACCTCAAATTCAGAGATCCACCTGCCTCTCCCTCCTGAGTGCTGGAATTAAAGGCATGAGCCACTATAGCCCTTCTGATTTTTCTTTTTTTAATGTCTCTAAACCAGGCCTTACTTTTCTTCTACAGTCATAGGCTTGGCCACAGCTTGTCTGGCTGCAGGCTGCTGGGCAGCAGCCCCTCTGTGTCCTGTCCCTGGACAGCAAGTACCTTCAGCTCCAGGGCGCTCCTTTCCATCAGCTTGTGCCTCATCAGCCTTGGCTTCAGGGCCGTCACTGGGCACAGATGCGTTGGGCTCTGGGGCAGGGCTGGAGTTGCTGCTGTTCTCCTGTTTGATGGGCGAGGCATCTGCTATGGAGCTCTGGTTACTGTTTTCATCTGCACAGGAACAGAGCACAGGTTGATATCCTATAGCTGCTGAGGAGAGGGGCGCGTGTGCACATGGGTGCCTGTGGGAGGGGGCTCTGCTTTCCCATGCACCAGTGACCTCAGAGCCTGTGAGGCCAGGGAGTCTCAGAGCTAGCCTGATTACCTCCTCCTCCCTACACCTCCCCCACAGCCCCTGGCTAACTAAAGAGGTCCCTGTGTCTGGGGCCTGCCAGACAAAACAGAGAATGGTCCTGGCCTTGACAGGACCACAATAGCTTTAGCTGCTTGAAGATGAAGCTAGGCAACATATCAGCATGAAGGCAGGGCTCCTGACTCTTCTGGAGGGAGTTTGTTTTCTTTAGGGGTGCCACCCTTGGTAGGCTGACCATGCTCCGGTGGACTGGGCCAGACCCATGAATGTATGAGCAGCACAAATTAGAGTCAGTGGGTTATCAAAAAAAAGGGAGCACACAGGACTGGAGCGATAGCTCAGCAGTGAACAAACACTTGCTGCTCTTACAGAGGTTTGGCTGCCAGCACCCATGTGGCTGTTCATAACTTCACTGCCAGGGGATCTGACTCTCTACTGCCTCCAAACATGTGGCAAACAAACATGAAATAAAAACACATTTTTTTCTTTAGACGAGGTTTAACTATGTAGCTTTAGGTGACCTGGAACTTGCTCTGTAGACCAGGCTGCCCCCAAACTCAGAGATCCACCTGCCTCTGCCTCCCAAAAGCTGGGATTAAAGGTGTGCGCCACACTGCCCAAATAAAATAATCTTGCTGGGCAGTGATGGCGCCCACCTTTGATTCCAGTACTCTGAAGGCAGAGGCAGGCGAATCTCTGTGAGTTTGAGGCCAGCCTGGTCTACAGCGTGAGTTCCAGAACAGCAAAAGAAAAAGAAAAAAAAATCTTTTTAAAACAAAATACATTGAATACATATATCAAATTCTCAAAGAATAAAAACATTTGATCAAAAAAACAACCCTTTGGGGTAATGAAACCTAGTCTAGGTGGAGAAGAAACGGGTATTTTGTGCAGCTAGCCATGAAATGGTATAAATAGTATCATTAAGACATTCCACCTCATTTCCTGAAGCTCCAGACTGAATTCCTGTTGATGAAAAACAAAGGGCTAGTCAGGCATGGTGGCCACGCCTTTAATCCCAGCACTGGGAAGGCAGAGGCAGGCGGATCTCTCTCTGGGAGTTCCAGGGCAGACAAGGCTATCTCTCTGGGAGTTCCAGGGCAGACAAGGCTATGTAGAGGTCATAAGAGCACTTTATTTCTTTAAGTGTGTGCGAGTGCCTGCAGGCAATTCTGTGCGGTCGCCACACCAGGTGCTTGTGGAGGGTGGAGCCGCATCCCTGAAACTGGGGGGCAGGTGCAAAGCAAAGTGTTGCTGGAAACAAAGCCAGGTCCTCCCTCTCTCCAACCCTGGGAATCCTTTTTCATGAGATTTATCTTTAAAATTTTGTTTTGTTTTTTGAGACAAGAGTTTCTCTGTGTAGCCCTGGCTGGGCCTGGAACTCGGAGATCTGCCTGCCTCTGCCCCGAGTGCCCTTCTTTTAATTGTGCGGCAGGCATGTGGGTAGGAACACGAGGGGAGGGGCCCACTGGAGGCTTTGGATCCCCTGGAGCTGGAGTTGGTTTTAAGCCTCCTGACTCCTGCTGGAAACTGAACCCGGGTCCTCTGGAAGAACATCAAGAGCTCTTAACCACTTGAGCCTTCTTCTCTCCAGCCTCACCCATAAACTTTCACAACTTATCTTATGTGGATGATGCTCTGCTCACACGTCTGTCTGCATCTCATGCATGGCCCGGTACCCACAGGAGCCAGAAGAGGGCACTGGATCTCTTGGGTCTGGAGTTACGGATGGTTGTGAACCACCATTTAGGTGCTGAGAACTGAACCTGGGTTATCCAGAGGAGCAACCAATGCTCTTCAGCACCGAGCTCCTACCCTAACCCCACGAGCAACTTTTAAAAAGCATTGCTTCTATGGCCAGACATGGTGGCACACGCCTTTAATCCTGGCACTCAAGGCAGAGGCAGAAGGATCTCTCGAGTTCCGCCTGCCTAGGAAGATCCTGACTTAAAACCAAACAAAGGGTCTATGCACTTATTTATTTTGATGTGCATACATTTTGTGTGCAATGGCACACACCTGTGCGGAGGTCAGAGCATCTACAGATTTTCCAGGAATCTGATCTTGGGTCTTCCGGCTTTGCTTTTGCACACTAAGCCATCCCCCTCCCACACCACCACCCAGAAATCAATTTTAAAAGAGGACTAGTGTATGGCTCACAGTAAAACACTTTTCTCTCTTCACAGTGTCCTGGGTTCGTTCCTATCATAAAAAACAAAAACAAAAACCAAGGAAGGAGAAATGAGGAAGAATACTAAAGATTAAAGAAATGTAAGAGACCTAGCCAGTAAATACATGTGCCAACTATTTGGGTCTAATTTGGAACGCACCAGCTATAACACATTTTTGAACAACTGGGGAATTTGATTATGGCCTGGATTCTTATTCAAGTTATTAGGGATTATTGTTTGGATTTTGCTGGCTTTTGGTTTGTTTTTTGGTTTTTCGAGACAGGGTTTCTCTGTGTGGCTTTGGAGCCTGTCCTGGAATTCGCTCTGTAGACCAGGATAGCCTCAAACTCACAGAGATCCTCCTGTCTCTGCCTCCCGAGTGCTGGGATCAAAGGCGTGTGCTGCCAACGCCCGGCAATTAGGGTAACTTGGTTAGAAGAGACAATGGCACAGTGAATCTGGGGAAATGTCGCCCTTTGGCAACATATGCTGAGACGGGTTGTACAGACTAAACACGCCAAGGCAGGGAGATATACTTTAGCTCAAACTGCAGACAACCACCAGGGTGCCAGGCTTCACACCCAAGAGACATGTGGTTTTTTGTTTTTGTTTTTTTTTGTTTTTTGTTTTTTGTTTTTGGTTTTCAAGACAGGGTTTCTCTGTATTGTTTTGGAGGCTGTCCTGGAACTCACTCTGTAGACCAGGCTGGCCTCGAACTCACTGAGATCCACCTGCCTCTGCCTCCCAAGTGCTGGGATTAAAGGCGTGCGCCACCAACACCCGGCGAGACATGTGGTTTTTATGTAAATTAAAAGTCAACTGAAAACAACACATTAAAAAGCACGTGGCAAATATAGCCCAATGTTCATAAAAACCAAAGCAGGGGGTCACTGGGGCTCATTGCACCGCGTCTTCTCTACAAGGAGACAGATGAGGAGATAATGGGGCAGTGGCATTCATGGTTAAGTTGGAGACAGATCTGGAGCTCAGGGTATACCTCCCCTTGTCCTGAACCCCCTTCTTGGGTACAGTCATTTTATTTTTAATTTTTATAGGGGAAAGCATAAACGCACCCCCAACTCCCACAAATTACACAGCTGAGTTTCCCACACTGGGGAGAACCACAGGGGTGATGTGTGAATGAGCAGATCTCAAGTGTCATGGAGGAACCCTTGGGAACCACCTTCTGAATCCTGCTCTCTCTTCTGCCAGGAAGTATGACACAGTCATTTTAGACCAAAGATACCCAAGGGCTGGTCTCACAGAAACACTCTAACACGGCAGCTCATGCCCATGATCCTAGCACTCAGGAGTAGAACCAGGAGGATTACTGATAATTTGAGACATAGTGAGCTCAGGCTAGCCAGGACTTCACACTGACATGCAAACAAATTAAGTAACACTATAATCTAAGGCTGTCTTTGTAGGTGATGCCACATGTGGGACCTTGTAAAAAGGAGGAGGGCAGAGATACTCCAAGCGTTCTGGGCCTACTATGTGTCACGCACTGTGAAACAGCATTTACAATTACCCCGTTGTTCTGAAAACAAGGTCTTGCCATGTGGTCCAGGCTATCCCAAAACTTATAGCCTGGAGCAGTCCTCTGGCTTCGGCTTTCACATAGCTGGGGACTATAGGGGTACCACCATGCCCAGACACTGCATTTAATCAACAACCTACTGAGGGGCACCTCCCTACCTAGCATTGCTACCAAAGTTTTTACAGATGGGAGAATTCATCCCTCAGGTTTATCTACTGTTTCTTTGTTTTTGTTTTGTTTTAAGACAGTCTCGTGTAGCTAGCTCATGCTGGCCTCAACTCATTGTTATGACAGCAACGATGGCCTTAAACTCCTCACCAACCTCCCTCTATCTCCTCAGTGCTGGGATTATGGGTGTGTGCCTCCCATTCGATTTGGATCAACTCTCCACCCCTAGTCTCTCTTTACCGAGACCCCGAGGGAGCCCCAGGCAGTCACACAGCCCACTGGTCTCATTTAACTGTGCTCTGGAATGTCAGTTACATAAAAGCATCCTCTTGACTTGAAAAATATGTGCTCTCCTCATTTACCTTCAAGAAGGTCTAAACTTTCCTAGGTCAAGACTCCAATGCACATGTGATGAAAATTCTGTTAATAAATGACAGTGAACATTAATGTCTAACCAGGCAGATGCTGGGATTGGGCCTGGGAACCATGATTCACAGCTGACACAGCTGAATCTGTAGACACCAGTGTGGGTGACCTCCACAGCTCCAGCTGTGCCCCTTCCCCAGCCTTCTGGAACATTCTTGCCAGGCCCACATTTCCCCACAAGCCTTCATGCTTGGTCATCCCTGCCTTGCTCTTGGTTGTTCATGAGCTAAGATGATAATGATGGAGAAGGAAGACATGTTGCTTATGTCTAGAGCCGGCTCTTTCTGAATCAGTCCAAGCAGCAAGTCTAGATTCTGTTCACAAGGCTCTCACATGTCAACTCTAGCACTGAAAGTTATCAGCTTGCTAATGGGGTGAGTTGACTATCTCTCTGTCTTCATCTGTGAGGCTCGCCTTGTTACCAGACACTTGGCACATTGTGAATGTTTCATACATGGTAGCATGTTAACATGCCAAAGCTCGAGGCTGGAGAGATAGCTCAGTGTTAAGAGCACGGACTGCTCTTCCAGAGGACCTGAGTCCAATTCCCAGCACCCACACGGAAGCTAACAACTACCTGTTACTACGATCTGACAGCCTCACACAGACATACATGCAGGCCAAACACCAATGCAAAACACACAAACAACATGCCAAGGCTCTTTAGAGATCGTCTCATCTAATCACAAGGACTTCATGAATTGCCGCTGCATTCTACAGGTTAAAACCAACCAGAAGGCAAGAGGTTACATCACTAACTCAGGATGGCACAAGTTAGGGAAGGTCCTGGGAAAGTCAGAGAGGGACTGCTTCGGAACGCCAGGGAACCAGGCCATATTCCATACCTCACCCTGAAAAGGAAATGAATTCGAGACTTGAGCTTGGTACTTATCGGATGATGACCTTGAACTTCTGATTCTCCTGCTCCTCCCTCAATGTCTGTGGTTACAGACCTGTACCTGCATACCCACAGCTTTTTGTGCAAGCCCAGTGGAACCACATCTTCAACCCTAGTTTTTGTTGTTGTTGGTTTTCTTTTTGAGACGGGGAGTCTCACGGTAGCCCAGGTTTTCCTCGAACTCCTGATCCCTCTGCCTCTATCTCTGGAAAGCTAGAATTACAGACCTGTGTCACTACACTTAGTGGGATCTTGGGTGTTTGTTCATTAACCAGCAGCAAACCCCATTGTGTTTTTATGAAGCTAAGTCACTCAGAAATAAGACTCCTTGATTAGGTGCCAGGGACTGGGGATCCAGAATGGTTAGTTTGGGTAAATGAGGTAGGAGTGCTGTATAGTGTTACGTCACTTGAGAGAAGGGAACCCAATTGAGAAAATGTCTCCATAAGCTCTGACTGCAGGCAAGCCTGTAGGGCATTTTCTTAATTAGTGACGGATGTGGCAGGGCCCAGCCTAGTGTGGGTGGTGCCATCCTGAGCTGGTGGTCCTGGGTTCTATAAGAAAAGCAGGCTGAGCAAACCATGAGGAACAAGCCAGTAAGCGGCACCCCTCCATGGCCTCTGCATCAGCTCCCGCCTCGAGGTTCCTGCCCTGACTTCCTTCGATGATGAACAGCGATGTGAAAGTGTAAGCTGAATGCTTTTTGATCATGTGTTTATCATAGCAATATTAACCCAGCTAAGGCACAGTGTACTTACTGCCTCTGCCCTCCCAGGATTAGGCAGGGGGCACCAGCAACTCGAGAGAGCCACTATTCCCCTCTGACTTTAACTGATCTATGGGATACCACCTTGTTGTATAAAAGGGTTAGAGAGGCAAAAGCTCTCTCTCTCTCTCTCTCTCTCTCTCTCTCTCTCTCTCTCTCTCTCTCTCTCTCTCGCACACGCACACGCACACACACACACACACACACACACACACACACGCCTGGGCCTTCGAGATGTCTCGGTGGGAAAGGCACTGGTCACTAAAGCTCGATGACCTGAGTTTGGTCCCTGGAACCTACTTGGTGGAAGGAGAAAACCATCTCCCATAAGTTGTCCTCTGACATTGTAGTACACATATGTCTCCCTGACTCACACACAAAAGAAATAGACGCAATAAAAAACTTCAAAAGCAAAGACATTAAAATTAAGATTAAAATCTGGACTCATATCCAGTACCTGGGAGGCAGAGACGAGAAGGACAGCCTGGGCTACATAATAAATTTTAGACCAGCCTGGGCTGTAGAGCAAAATGCTGTTAAAAAAAAAATTCCCAATACAGGGTTGGTAAAATGGCTCAGTAGATAAAGATGCTTGCCACTGAGCCTGGGGACCTGAGTTCAATCCTTGGGACCCACACGGTGGAGGGAGAGATAGGACTCCCACGAGTCGTCCTCTGACTTCCACATGTATGCAATGGCGTGTGCACATATCTTACATAAATGTTTGGGGTGTGGTGGTGCATGGTTTTAATCCCAATACTCGGGAGGCAGAGGCAGTTAGATGACTGAGTTTCAAGCCAGCCTACTCCACACAATGAGTTCTAGGCCAGCCAGGGCTAAACAGTGAGACACTGTTCTCCAGACAAAACAAACAAGTAATAAATAAACTAAGGAGAGAGGGAGAGAGGGGGAGGGAGGGAAAGACAAGCATAGTAAACTCTGGTAGGGTGGGGCCAGCATGGAGACAGGACAGGGTGCGGGAATAGGGCATCCATGTCTCCCCCAAGGGATGAAAGCTATTCCTGCCTTAGCCAGCTGCTTCCAGCACAGTAACAACTAACTTCTCCAACAACAGTAGTAAAGCAGGGTTTCTGATTTATAAACATCAAAAGCTGCTATAGTTTGAATCTTAAATGTTCCTAAAGGCTAAATCCCAGCTTCGCACAGTCAGAGGCAGAAGAGACTTTAAGAGGTAGGACCTGGAAGGAGATCTTCTGGTTACTGAAGGGGTCCCCTGGCCCCCTGGGTTTTGAGTCACTGTCCAGGCTGGCCTAGAATTCACTATGTAGCCCAGGCTGTCCCCAGACTTGTAGTGCTCGTCCTGCCTCTACCCGTCTGCCCCCAGGACTGGGGTTGTAGGCATGTGTCTCCAAGGAAGCCGGCTCCTCTTCCTCCTTTGCCAGCAGCTTTCCCTACCTTGATGCTCCCACCATGACGTGCTAGTCCACCAGACGTCCCAAAACAACGCCATCAACTGAATGGACTAGGCCCTCTGATACCATAAGCCCAAACCCTTCCTCCTTCAGACTGCATCATCTCAAGCATCGTCTTACAGTGGCAGAAAGCTAATCACTTCTCACAAAATCTACAGGTCTAAATGTCTACGGTGGCTTTCCTTGCAGGGATGGGGCCACCAGGAGGGGCTAAGAGGCCTGTTGGGACAGGCTGTGCCCATCTTGTGCTTTGGAATGGGCTGGCTCTAAGGAGTGTACGTTTTATGGACATTTCATGGAGTCGTAGGACTGTGATTTGAGCCTTTCACCTCAATGAGGCGAGAGAGACAGACAGACAAGATGAAAACAGGAGACTGGCTATATTATGGCCCCAGCCTCACCCCAACGGATGCAACAGACACATGTTACAACTTCTAAAATCAGACAGCCCAGGAAGTCAGGCTGTCAAGAGAGGGCAGTGCCCAGGTTCCTATGGTGACCATGAAGTACTCAGAAATCCATTCTGAGTAAAAATGGAGAATGAGAAATACAGTCATGAGTCTGGCACATCACACCCCCAAATCTTCCTGGGTGGGCAGGGCTGCTGGGATCATCTGTGAGACTGCGCTCCTGGGTGAGCAGGAGGTGTGATCTCTCTGCTCCTGCTTTGTTTCTTGGCTAGGTACTCCAGGGAGAGAAACGTCTCCTCCGAAGAGCTCCTCCTTGGCACAGAGGCCTGGTAGTCTTGCCCAGCCCTCCTACCCTTTGCCTGGAATGTGAACAAACCTGCTAGAGAAACAAAAACACAACTTAGGGCTTCCTGAGGCCCAGGCAGGGAAGCCGGCTGCGGTGGGGCTCACCGTGCATGTCCATCATTCCCGGTGACGAGCTGTTCTCTGGAGTGGTGACCTCCGAGCCACACTTCTCATCCTTGCCTTTCTTCTTATTCTTGTTTTTCTAGAGGAGAAAAAGGGGACAGAAACCCAGT